GACTTGAGATGAACTACCGAGAGCTGTCTGGATGCAGACCTGGTGCAGTGCAATCTGAGCTGCATCCAATGCTTTTTAATGCGCTCACCTAAACCCACTTCTAACCCTACCCGTCACATCATTCACTCCATTGGGTGCATCGTGTCCGACATTGCATCGCTGAGTGATGCAATCTTTGCTTGCATCATAAAGGCTGCATCCAGATACTATTGGAACTATTTGCTGCTGATTTTAGTAAGATCAGGGTTTAAATCAGCCTTTGTTGGTGTCATCAATCTGGCAACCTGCTCTTGTGTGCGTTTTGAACTAGGAGTGCAATACCTAGTTCAACCACTGAGTGTCAAACTTACATACTGCACATTTAAATAAATGAAGGTCTGCTAGAATACATGTACATTGTTTCGAGTTTAAAAACAACCTGTTTTAGTTGCTGTCTATTTAAAGTCCACCGGTCTGAAAAGTACAGCTTGTTAAATGGAAATGCCAGTGCTTCTTTCCACTGACTCGACTTACAATATTATATTTTTAAGCAACTAAAAATATTAGCGGAAATATAGGCAACAAAAGACATTTAAAAGAGTGGCAAGCACCCAAGAAACACACTACAGGAAACAGTTTACAGATAGATTTTACAGTGCAGATAAGTGACAAAAAGGATGCAGGTTTACAAATGAAGTTTCAGTTCATGGGTAAGAATTTGAATACACTGTTAACAATTTCCTATATAATCTATCTACAGTAACTTACTGGCAGCAGTTTACCAGTAACTTACTGTAAATCAATTACAGCAAAAATACTGTATTTACATTTACAGCACATCTATCTTGCTGTATATGTATTTACAGAATTGTATGTATATTTTTTACCACAAAATATACAGTAATTTTCACAATGCAACTTTAAAATACAGTAACATACCGCATAACTATCCAAATTACAGTTAAATGTTGTTCTGTTTACAAAAATCATGTAAAATGAATCAGATAATTTAATTAAGAGTTAGATTTCATTTGACTGTGATGTTTGGATTAGTTTCTAGTTTACAACACCTTCATAACTTTTTAAATGATCGTTCTTTTTTTTTTAAGTATCTCATTCTGACTAAAATAAATTTAAATGCAATTGACGTAATTATTATTCCCAACTCATAAATTCAAACATCCTTGGAGAACTTGAATGCCTAAATAGTTCTGCATCCTGTCTGCCTGATTTAATAATGAAATCCTGAATCAGAGTAAAGCTGTGCACTGCAGTGTGGCAAAGATTAGTCAGCCTGAGACAAATTTTGCAAATCCTCTAATCCTAGATCCTTTGATTATTGATAATTAATGACCAGATTCCAGCGCTGATGAAATTCTGCAAGTGTCAGAAGTCTTGAGGCAACTTCCGGCGATGTAACTCAACTGTCAAATGAAGAACCAATAGTGACACAGACCCTGTTTCTATAGCAAATGGCCACTTGCTCCACGAACATTGTTTTTTTTAAACAAACCTGCACAGATTGATGATGTTAAGCTCCAGACTAGTCTTTTTGCATACGTCTCTTTTTAAGAAGTCTTGACTGTTGTACAGTGTGGCATTAATGACAACTGAGTTCACGCAGTGTGACAGCTGAGAGCATGTTTTTACAGCCTGACAAGCAGCAATCGCAAAGTACTGTCAAAGCTTACAGTGTGTGCATCCTCAGTTTAAGGCATTCTCATTTCCATCCAAAACCCTGTTGCCTAATAATAAGAAGTGTTGTATAATATCAAAACAATTCATGTTTTTTTTTTTTTTTTTGCAAAATGATGCAAGCAGTAGAACACGGTGTCAGATTTTTTGTCATGATGTTTGCCTTCCTGGTGGGTCATCTTGCATCTTGGGCGGATCCTGCTGGGAAGCTGTTAATTAGCCGGATCTCTGTCAAAGCTCTGCCTGGCTGGTAGCCTTTAAGATCATGCATTAAGAGGTTTTAAAGCTACTTAGTCTCACACCAGAGAGATCTCGTGGTTTGGATCCTCCTCGCCTTTATTGTATTTCATAGTCATTTGTTTAGTGAATGGAAAACGTGTTTTCTCTACTGTAGAGTCTAATGAGACTATTAGAGCCTCAGATTTCCATTATGCTGTTATGATGTTATTCTCCTCTGCCCAGCAGTTGTCACAAATACTCCTTCATATCCAGGGCAGGATTACAGTTCGGGCATGCCAGGCACACGCCATAGGGGCCCCAGACCCCTAGGGGCCACATGCAGTGAAATCATGCACAGTAGTATCCCTATTGAAAGTTAAAACAAGTTAACTTAACACATTCTGTAAGGATATAATTGGATGTTTTTGTTGGCAGAATGAAATATATAATTAAGGTGCATGCGCAAATTTCATTCATTTTCTTTTCGGTTTAGTCCCTTTATTAATCTGAGGTTGCCACAGCGGAATGAACCAACAACTTATCCAGCATATGTTTTTACGCAGCACATGCCCTTTCAGCTGCAAGCTATCACTGGGAAACACCCATACACACTCACTATCACACACATACACTACGGTCAATTTTAGCATGTCTTTGGACTTGTGGGGGAAACCAGAGCACCTTGAGAAAACTCAGGCAAACACAGTGAGAACATGCAAACTCCACACAGAAATGCCAACTGACTTAGCCAAGGCTCGAACCAGCGACCTTTTTGCTGTGAGGTGATCGTGCTACCCATTGCGTCACCTGCCGAAATTTAATCACAATATTTTCTGTCAACAGTGTGTGTGTTAAGTTCAAACAAGACGTTCGAAGCACTTTCTGTTGATCCTTTTATTAATCTCTTGAATCTTTTGTGAAATCAGCATGGGGAACTTGCTTGCTCTTTCTTAAAAATCACATTTTTATGGATAACTTTTATGTGACCTGTTTTTTGCCTGTAAAAAAATTATGAATAGTAAATGCGGAGCTCATCACACACTGGACGTGAAGTGCCACATATTTTAGAATTGTCAACATTGTTTTTGATGAGGGTATGCACACCGGCACCACCATTCGGAGTCTGTTTGCATTGCTTAACGACTTATAGAAAATAATTTCCTTCAAACCCCTTAAAAGTCAATCTATCACTCACTCACTTTACTTCAGGGGAATGAACCACCAAATACTCTAGCTTATGTTTTACCGGTTGATGCCTATGGTGGCCGAGAGAGCTTAATGTGCTGCAATTTAAGAAAATACATGCAATTACAAAAAACACCAGCAAATTAAGGAAAGATCTTCATCTGTTTGACAGCATATGTGCTGCAAATCATCACTTCAAAAACACACTACATTTTCCCACGATGCAAACAAATTGATAAAACAAACTGCATTTCCCATGACGAAAACAGTTAACATAAACAAGCTGCATTTTCTTACAACACTTTCAGGATAGCACAGAACACAATGGAAATGTTTTAAGGGGACCCAAGAACGTGAAGGACGCAACTGTTATTGCTCAGTGAATTTGTAGGTGATCTTTGAAAAGTGAGCTTTTTGCTTGTTTATAGACTATTACTGATTCCCTTCTCTTTTGTATTGTATTAGCCTAAATAATCATAACCTACTGTAAATATCCGTGTCCGTCACCTTTTAGGGTCCCCTTGAAATATTTCTGTTGTGTTCTGTGCTATTTAAAAGTGCTAATTTGTTTGTGTTGTGTGAAATGCAGCTTGTTTTTTAAAAATGTGTACACGTTGTGAGAATTTGCAACACGTGTGCTGTCAAACGGATGAAGATCTTTTCTCCATTTGCATGCGTTTTTGTAATTGCACATGTTTTCTTAAATTGCAGCATGTTTGCTCTCTCAGCCATCATAGATACCCTTCCTGCTGAAACCCACAAATATTTGAAAGCCAGTCCTGGGAAACAACCATTCACTTTGTCATTTACACGCAGTCATACACTATGGCCAGTAGTTTATTGAGTTACAGGGTACACTACTATGGATATCATTCATTCATTCATTCATTTTCTTTTCAGCTTAGTCCCTTTATTAATCTGGGGTCGCCACCGCGGAACGAACCACCAACTTATCCAGCACATGTTTTACGCAGCGGATGCCTTCCAGCTGCAACCCATCAGTGGGAAACACCCATACACTCCCATCTACACATACACTATGGACAATTTTAGCACACCCAATTCACCAACCACATGTTCTTGGATTTGTGGGGGAAACCGGAGCATCCGGAGGAAACCCACTCGAATACGGGGAGAACTATGGATATACTAATACAAAAAATTACTATGGAAATGAATTAATGGTTTCCAACATTCTTCTAAATATCTTCTTTTGTGTTCAACAATTCATTCACTCATTCATTTTCATTCGGCTTAGTCCCTGATTTATCAGAGGTCGCCTGATACTTACTCTGGCATATGTTTAATTCCGCAAATGCCCTTCCAGCCAAAACCCAGCACCAACACCTATACCTATACACTCACTGTGGCCAATTCACTTACACTTTAGACTGTGGGGGAAACCGGAGTACCCAGAGAAAACCCACGCAACCACAGTGAGAACATGCAAACTCCACAAAGAAATGCCAGCCGGCCCAGCCAGGACTCGAAAAAGTGACAATACCAATAACCAACAACTCGAACCAGTTCAATACCACAAATAATATCTATCTATCTATCTATCTATCTATCTATCTATCTATCTATCTATCTATCTATCTATCTATCTGTCTGTCTGTCTGTCTGTCTGTCTGTCTGTCTGTCTGTCTGTCTGTCTGTCTGTCTGTCTGTCTGTCTGTCTGTCCAGAGTCCAGAGTAAAGCTACAGAAACTGCAACCACAGTAAGCTCTCATTCGTGACTTTTTTTTTCTTGAGGGTGTTGTTGTACCTCTCTGAAAGAAGCGTTTATAGACCCTGACACCGTAACAGCGGTCCCATTCGGCGTAGTGACATCTTATTAAAGCAGCACCACGTAATCCTACCAACACCCTCCCTTGCTTAAAATCCGCTCGTCCGGTGCAGTTCCGTAGACGCACAGCCTCCTCCTCCGGCAGAGCAGCGCCGCGGCTCGTGTTCCTCCGGTAAGATGGTGAGCAGCGCGCGGCAGCAGTAGAGCAGTGTCGCTGGACCGTAAGAGAAGGCGCTCTCGGTGCTTATCCCGCTCTCCTTCCACAACATATCCATACACCGAGGGAAACTTCGCGTATTTTTGGACACGGTAAGACTGATAATCGAAGCGCTATGCTTTCCTTACTGTAAAATATTGATATATATTTTTAAATTCTTAATGACGGAACGTTGGCTCTCCTCTTGCAGTGAGTGTATGTTTGTCAAATAGCATCCCATCACGAGCAGGCGTGAAATAACGGGCTATGCATGGGATTACATGACGGAAAATAAAGCCTATAGTTTTAAAAAGCGTAAAATAATTACTAATTTGAAATGAGATATGAATAAAGCGATTGTAAAACCGCGTAATATGTTTTTGTTCCATTGACCGATAGTTCACAACACGGGATTTGGGTCATCGTGCAGCCTCCATGTCGTGTGAACTGTACTTTATGAATGAATCGATAGTTTTGTGATCGTGACGGATGTAAGGAATGTTTGGACGGGTCAGGGGTCGCGCTGGACGGATGTGCGCGCTTCCAGTAATTCTGTTTAGACAGTCGGGCGATGCTATTGTTCAGACCGAGCTTCTGGAGAGCTCGAGGAAGCGGGACATGATGAAGGCTGCGCAGGCAACACGCGGCTGCTGGGATCCCGCATAGCCTACTGTAGGCTGCTCAGAAAGTGCTTAATGCTAAATTAATCACTAATATTTACCATGCGAATGGAGTTGTTATGAATGTAGCATGCGGTATAGTAAACTGCATCAAGCAGATGCAGACGCCAAAAGCAGTCCGCCGTGCACGTTGTTTGCACTACATCTCTGAAAAAGTGATGTATTTACCATTGTACTGTAACGTTAGTAGCACAAGTGAGTGAGTGAGTGCGTAATTTATGACGCAATTATTTTATGACGCTTATTTAACAGTTAATCTGCTTATAATATAGCCTAAATGATTCGAATAACCATAAAGCAGCATATTTACTATTGAATCGCTGCTATTGTGGAGATAAATAAAAATGTGACGTGCATGACTGTGAATATGCTTATTTAAAATTCATTTTGTGTGATTGTTTTAATAATTGCATGCATTTATAGAATTTATATATATTTTAATTCATTTTAAAAACTATAAAATATTTCATATTTTTGCATTGATTTAGCCTACATTGTAATTTTTAAACCAACAACTATTTTGAGTATTTATTAAGAACTAGATGATTGATTAAAAGACTATTTACACCAACCCCAAAATATTAAAAGTATTATTTTAAATCTTTATTTATTGTCATTATCTTTAAAACCACAAAAAAGCTCGTAATAATTTAGAATGGAATAAAATTCATGCATGTTTTTAATAAGTATATATCAGAATTATATCTTGTATCATCCTACATAAATATATGAAGAGTTCAGATGCAAAAAAACCTTTAAATGCCATCTGAAATTTTCTTTTAAAATGAGCATTTTTCTCAGCCTCCAATATTTTTGTGCAGCTATTTCACGTTAAAGGCAATGCAATGAACCTGTTTTTTTTTTTTTGCCATAGGAGTGGATTTACTGAACATACACACAGGAGTTTGCCAAAAATGCCCATTTTAGAAGAACGTTTCAGATGATATTTAGAGTTTTTTTCACCCAACTCTTCATATGTTAATGTATTTCATCCATACCCCCAACAAATTTCACCTTTAAAACATTAGACACTTTAATTGCATTTAATATGTTTTCTTTGTATATTAAATAAATATTTTTGACCCATCGGTACAATGACACTGTGTGTACATAACATGGAAGCATTTCCAATGGTCCCACAGGTCCAAGGAGTCCCAATTTTACTTTAAAAACTAAAACAAATCTGATTTTGAGTTCTTTAATAAATCTGAATGAGACATTCCATTTGAAGCTGGATATGAATGGGTTTTCTCCATGCCATTGATGTTGGTGAAGGCTACGGTTATGTAAGAAGATAAGAGTGGGAAAGGCTGGCTCATCTGCAGCAGTCTGTTTGTAATCAGGCTGCTGGTCATTCTGAATCCCTTCAGGACACTTTATTCAAAGATGCACATTGATCGATGGAAGGGTTTATGACATCAGGTCAGGGTGAGGTCAGGGTTCTTTCATGCGTAATAAGTACTGATAAGTGTGTGAGATTAATTTTTTGTCTGTTGACTCATATGGGGAGGGTTGAGATGTCAGAATTTTATTGAAAAAAAATCTTTCACCCGGATTTCCCTCACACTAATCCAAATGCATATACGTATTTAGATTTTTTTGGGTGATTTATACAGTCAGATATATAAAGTCAGAATTATTAGCCCCATTTACAGTTTTTTTTTTTTTTTAAATGTTTCCCAAATTATGTTTAACAGTGCAAGGAAATTTTCACAGTATGTCTGATAATTATTTTTTTCTTCTGGAGAAAGTCTTATTTGTTTAATTTTGGCTATAGAATAAAAGCAGTTTTTAATTTTTTAAAAGCCATTTTAAAGGCTAAATGATTAACCCCTTTAAGCTATTTTTTCTGATAGTCTACCGAACAATTATTACACAATAACTTGCCTAATTACCCTAACCTGCCTAGTTAACCTAATTAACCTAGTCAAGCCTTTAAATGTCACTTTAAACTGTATAGAAGTGTCTTGAAAAATATCTAGTAAAATATTATTTTCTGTCATCATGGCAAAGATAAAATAATTCAGTTATTAGAAATAAGTTGTTAAAACTATTATGTTTAGAAATGTGCTGAAAAAAATCTTCTCTCCCTTAAACAGAAATTGGGGATAAAAATAAACAGGGACCTAACATTTCAAGGGGGCTAATAATTCTGACTTCAACTGTATATTTAGAATTGTTCTGCATCTCTTTTCCATATAATTAACTAACGGAAATGTTATTTGAAGCTTGAAGAAAGCAAAAAAAAATAAATAAAAAAAAATCAAAACAGTTTGAAGTCATACTGTACCATATTGCTTTGTTGAAAAGACTGAATTATGGCACTGTGGGAAGAGCAGCATAATGATTTTCTTCCTCTCTTCCATATAAAATGTAAAACTATGTGATTGGAGTAAAAAATGAAATAATTAAATTTCTAAATAGAACCCCCCCTCTCTTTTTTCCCATTTGAAAGTTACTTTAGACCTTAGGGGAGTTGATAACATAGGATTTGACTGTAGTTGACTTTCAATCTTTTTAACTTTATCTTTATATTTGGGTTCCACACAATCCCTTCATGTCGTCCCAATACAAATCGATAAAGTTAAACTCTTTAACTCTTTAAAAAAATGTTTTTTGCATTTTGAAGTTAGTTGAACAAAAAACAGTTAAGCTACCCGTATACATCTGTTTGCTCCTGTGTTCACTTGCTTGCCTGACCATTTTGTTGAATAAATACTGCATTTGGATCCACACTCCGTTGTCAGCGTCCACTTCACATTTCAACGGGTATATGTGTGGACCTAAATTGGAACGAAATGTCATGTCTTGTTGGATCATATTGCTACATAAAGAAAATGTAATCGTAAATATAAAAACAACACTAGATGTAAGAGCAATTTTTAAATCTTTACATAACACACTGGAGCACTAATCTAACTATACATTTATATATATTTCCATCCAAACATGAGGCAAATCTTTTCAAAGTTATTAGTTCTGTTTCCATCAAGTTGTTAGAGCAGACGACTGTAGTATTGGTAACCTAGCAACCAACAGTAAACAAGACAAGCATACATCAGAATTTATTCAGCAAATGCGTCTTTATCTTCCATTGCATTAACCAGTTTTTGCACAAGTCTAAATGCACCTCAAATAAGCATTAAACCCTTTTAACAATTACGTAACTTTTATTTAGAAATTTGATGTTTGAGTCACTCTTTTCTCATGCATTGTTTAAAAACGGGCATTAACTCAGGCTGATAGAAACCCAGCAAGTGACTCAAGGGCTCCAAGTATAGGATCAGTGCTTCAGACATATGATGCATTGCCTCTGTAAGGCTAGAATCTCCCGCTGAGGGGTTTTCTTGGATTTCCCGTAGAAATCTCATGGTCTTATTAGCTGTCTTATTAGTTTTCATTGGGCTGTTTTCTTTAGTGGCTCGAAACACATGGTCTTCTTTGGCATTGGTGACTGTCTGATACAGCATGAATCTCTTCATCTTTGTTCATTTGGACTCAGTATAGAGGAGCTGTGGCTTGCTGCACATGAAATGTAACTTTATGGGACAAGTTATGGCGGAAACACTGGTTCATAAAACATCCACATTACTAGCTTGCGAGTTAATGGACATTAGTGATAATATTAGTTATGGCACTTAATCTGAGATAAAGATGAAGTTTATGGTAGTTGTTTGAATACATTAAAGAGCCCTTTGTAATCAAAATCATCAAGATATGAATATGGAAATCAAATCATGGCATGTTCAGTGCCATCGTTTTAAATTTTTTATCACTTTAGTGCTGCTGCCATCAACATTTTTGTCAGGACTTTGGAGATATACAAATATTTTTTGCTATATTCAGCCCAAACTATACTTAATTATTTTAAATACATTAGTGCAGCCACACAGTTAACAGTCGGTTATCTAAATTTAGAAAAATGAATAGTATGCATGTGACAAAAAGAAGTGAAACTGGACAAGCAATCATGCAATGTCTGTTTCACTCATAGAAGGGATGTATGGATATGGAAATTTGGGCCAAGACTGAAAACCCTTAATATCTGGATGCCAAAAAACAATATATTTTATGTTAAATACAAATCTTGATTACCAAATCAAAAGGCAAACAAATAAAGTAAAAAATATAATTTTATTTAAAACTTATAACTACATAATATGAAGAAACTGCAAAGAAGCATCTAAATCTTCTTTTTTTATACAATATCTTGCAAAATATTTTTGAAACTCTTATGCCTTGCAATCATAGACTGTAAAGGATATGGACGTAGTATCCGTGACGTCACCCATAAAACTACTAGAAGGCATGGCCAACCATCGACATTTTGTTAGCGCGTCAACCCACTATCCGGGGGTGATTAAATAATACATACAGGCAAACAGGCGGAGCGTCAGTGGAGCTACTAATGCCTGCTTGCATTTTGCTTTGAT